CAAAAAATTATAAGCTGAATGAATGTTGAAGTTCCCATTAGAAGATTTTCTCCACCAAAAACAATCCTCAAGCATACTTGTGGGAGCTTTTAAACCATCTCGATGTGCTACACAATCCCAGATAGAAGAAATTTAAGGCATTCACCAATATTCCATTTCCTGTACTTTGCATCACATATCTGGTTTAGCTTCCGGGTTCATTTTTTCTTCACTATCTAGTTAAATTTATTATACCCCGCGAGCTCCGATATGAGCATGAGATGCGCTCGTAAGAGTAAAGGTGAGGAATGGTGAGTAGTAATTGATGGTAGGAGTGAAGAGGAATAAAAAATTCTAAGACATGAATTAATAAAAACTATTTTTTAGAATATTGTTCAAGTTTAATTAGATTTCAAGTTAATTATAGCTAGTGAGGTTTTTGGCCTTATGTTGGCAAGCAAGCTATGATAGGAGATATTCAGGCATTAAAATTACTAATGATTGACCAATGCTTACTCGTTGTTTATTTGTTGCATGCCGATCGAAAGAATTGTATTGTTATTAATAGCTCCTTCAATCTTATCGTAACACACTTCTGGATAGAGGATCAACTATGATAGGTCATCATTATTCTTTTCTGCAAACTCTCCTTCACACATCAAGGAGAAGGTGTACTCTTTTCCTCCATGTGAATGCTGCTGAGAATCCTGGATCTTATCTAGGGCTCTCTGTTCTTTGGGGCCAGTCTAAAGTTGTTGTCCTTGCTTATGTTTGCGACAAGATGAGCAGGAAGTTTCACGACTAGAGAAGTAAGTTTCTTACGTTGCTGGATAGAGGTTATGATAAAATCGATTATTAATGCAATTCCAATTTTCCCAATCGCTTGCTTCAAGTTTTTCAAAGAAACATGTGCATAATTGAATAGTCTAGTAGCGAACTTCATCTAGGAGTAATCCCCTCTAGAAATAATATGCACTGGAAAGCTTGGAATGTTTATGAACTCCAACAATGAAAGGGCCTTTGCTTTAGAGATTTTATGACCTTTAATAACTCTTTGCTTGCGTAAATTTCTTGGTGTGTGCTAAATAACCCAACTCATCTATGGTTTAGGTTCTGAAGGCACTTACTTACTATTCCTAATTCCTCATTTCTGGATGCCAAACGAGGATCTAGGGCCTCCTGGGCGTGGACTAGCATTCTAGTAGTTAGAGATGTCCTTATGGGAGATTTGTGTTTTAAACTTGGTAAGGGTCGTGACATTAATGTTTGATCGGACCCTTAGATCCTTGGATTTCCGAACTATAAAGCTGTTAACAAGGGAATGTTGAGGTAGATAAAAACCCTTAAGGTGGAGAATCTGATTCTGAATGGTGCATGGGATCCTCCCCCTTGCTTGTAGTCAGATGACTAAAGCTTCCCTGGCTTGTATTTAGTCTCTTCATATCCCTGTTACCCCCTCCTTTATGCTGTGGTATGGATGGGGGCAAAAAATGGAAGGTATAATTCAAAGCCGAGTTACAAATGATAGTTTCTCCAAGCTGCGCCCCACAATTGTTAAGTCGCCAAGCACCTCTAATACATTTCCTAAGGCACTGTTAAGTCCTATTTGCCAGCTGCACATCCACCCTAAGGTTAAACACTTCTTCTGGAGAGCATTGACTAGGCCTCCGACAACCAGGGAGTCCCTTTTATGCCTTTGATCCTCTCTATCTCATTTGCTTAAGGTACCTCTAGTCTACTGAACACTTACTGTTGAATTTTGATTGGGCTAGAAAAATCTGGTTTGGCTCACCATTATCCATTATAGTTAATCTAATGCATGTTACTTCTTTTTAAGTACTAGTGGGATGATTTTCTGGTTAAGGACTCCCTTCTTATTGACTACGACAAAGCTTATATAGCTTGTCTTTATTGGAACATATGGAAGACTCAATCAACCTCAAGTTTTAACGCTGTCATAATAAACCCATATCAAGTTATCTGCTTCACGAATGCTGCTGTGAGCGAATTCTAGAATTTTAAGAAAGATGATCACGAGCTGTGTTTAGTCTTACATGTCACCCAAGCTTATTGGACAGCCTGCAGAGAATTGTGTCAAGATTAACTGCGATGGAGCTTTCTCCTCAACTTCAAGCAAAGTAGCCATTGGTATTATCTGTAGATCTCCCTCGGGTCAATTTATCAAAGGCTAGCATAAGCAACTCAAAGCTGACTCTAGCTTTATGCCTGAACTTCTAGCATGCTTGAAGGCTACATAGATTTATTTCAATTTTTGCAATCTTTATGTTGTTGTGGAAACTAATTGCCTGGAGCTATTCAGAGCCCTCACTGGTCGCAATGAATTCCTTTGTGCTTGGTCTTATCATGAATTGCTTAATGACCTATTTGCTACTCGAGTCTTAAACCTACATTTCCTTTTCATTTGTCAAGCGTGAATGGAACTCTGCTCCTGATTGGTTAGCAACCTTATCCCTTAAGGTTGTGGATCTAGATGGTTGGATTCTCAACCCTCACTCCATTTTCTGATTATTTTGGCAAAAGACTCGGAGTCCTTTGAGACGACTTTCCAGCAGCCTGTTCTTAATTGCGATCGAGAAGGAATTGATAACTTTAGTTCAGTTATTTTATTATTCTTTTCTTAATGTCTTTTGCCCTTGGGCTTATGACTCTTTATTTTTTCTAGTCTGTTGCACTAGAATCCCGTTACTTTTTGTAATTATGAATGGATGATACTTTCTCCATTGGTTAAGAAAAAAATTAGATAGAACAATGGAATGAACGATAATTTGATATTTAGGTTAATATAATTTATAGTTCTTTAAATTTGTTTTTAGTTATCAATTTGGTCCTTTTTGAGTATAATTTTTATCAATTTAATCCCTTAAATTTATTTTGATTATCAATTCGATCCTTATTGTTTAAAAATAGTTTGCATTATTGAAATTTTCTAACATAGATAACACAATATTGATGCAAACATATAAATTAATGAAAAGGAGTATAATTATTTAGGTAAAAAATAAACTCTAAAATTTTAAATATCAAGAGAACAAAATACATTATAAGGGATTATACTAATAAAAATTAAACTAATTTGAGGATTAATTTATTTTTATTTAGCTATATATACATGTTAAGTTGTCAATATGCTTTAAGGAAAACACAATCATTGATTCATATAGTTTTGTCAAATTTTGCTTTTGGTTTCTGTATTTTTTTAATATTTTCAATTCTTATAGGAGTAAAAACACTAAAATTGTACAAATTTGAGTAACAAATATCATAAAATCTTGTTGAAATTATAAAAACTGAAAATACTGAAAAAATATAAAGATTAAAATCAAAATTCAATAAAACTGTAAGGATTAATGATTGTATTTTTCCTATGATTTACAAATTAGATTATTTTGAAAATTAATTTATATTTTAAAATTTAAATAACTTACATGATAATTTAAGAAAATATAAAAAATTAAATTAATAAAAATTAAATTTTAGACACCAAATCCGTAACAGAGAGAAACCTGAGGGATGAAAAGTTTCATTATCCCTTGACCTTTTCCAAATATTAAAATTCTTTGAACCAGTTCCGAGCCCCTGCCCTGCCAACCAAGAAAAAAGAAAACGGAACATGTGATTATTGGTTAAAACCGTTTTTGTTTGGTGAAAAGTACTATTATATTACCATACAAAACTATATAATATAAAGGGCATGATAATAAGCAGGTGAGGCAAATCCCGAAAGAGTGCGTTTTAGGGGTGAAGAAGGAGCTACGGCCTTTCCTTTTATCTCCTTCCTAAGTCTTCTTGTCATAAGCTTACAATGAAATTACTTATTTTTTCTGGAATCATGGTAGGAATACCAATTCTATGCACTTGTTAAAATAGACAAAAATGTGTTGTCCAAGAGAAAGGGTTGGTTTAAATCTTTGAGACATTAATCTTTTCAATCAAGCTCTTTTGGCTAAAATTATTTGGCCTGTGATTGATTGCCCATATTCCTCATTAGGCAAGGTTCTTAGGATTGAATATCTTCAAGATCCACTGCCTCTCCTGCTTGGAAAAAGATTTTAGCAGCTGGTAATGTGATTTTGCAAAATCTAAAATGGACAGTAAGTAATGGTTAATTTATTTACCTGAAAAGTCCACTCTTTTGACCTTTGCTGTAGTCAAATATTCCCTTTTTTTTTTTGGTTCAAAAAGTAGAAGATCTTTTACCGTGCTCTCAATTTCTCTAGAATAGACAATTAGTTTTTACTTCCTACCAGCCTACTATAGCTTTGTAGATTTTGCAAACTCCATTATCTTGCACTAATCAAAAGGGTTCTTTAGTCTGGACC